GGGGAGGGGAAGGGGGTTCTGAAATAAATAGGGAGAGAGGGGGAGGCGGATAGAACATCCATCTTCTATCCGCCTCCCCGTATGTCCCTATTTATTTCAGAACCCCCTTCCCCTCCCCCATTTCTGAAGAAGGGTCTAGGCTTGAAACGTCAGCTTTCCTGCTCCTCTGATGCTGCTTGGCCTGCTGTGTTCATCCAGCTCTACACCTTGTTATCTCATTAATTGTATACATCCTGCCCTTGTTTATTTTACCAAAATGTAATACCTTTCATTTATCCAAATTAAACTCCATCTGCCACTCCTCAGCCCATTGACCCAATTGATCATGATCTGTTTTTAATCTTAGATAACCTTCTTCACTGTCCACTACACCACCAATTTTGGTGTCATCCATTAACTTACTAGCCATGCCTACTATATTCCCATCCAAATCATTTATATAAATGACAAAAAAATTGGACCCAGTACCAATCCATGTGGAACACTGCTAGTCAAGGGCCTCCAGTCTGAAAAACAACCTTCCACCATCGCCCTCTGTCTCTTACCAGAAAACCAATTTTGAATCCAATTGGCAAACTCACCCTGAATCCCATGTGATCTAACTTTGCCAATTAGTCTACCATGTGGAACCTTATCAAAGGCTTTAACAAAGTCCAAGTCAACAATGTCTACTGCTCTGCCCTCCTCAATCAAATTTGTGAGACACGATTTCCTTCACACAAAACCATGTTGACTATTCCTAATCATTCCTTGCCTTTCAAAATGTATGTAAATCCTATCTTTCAGAATCACCTCCAACAACTTACATATCACTGATGTCAGACCCACAGGTCTCTAGTTCCCAGGCTTCTCATTACAGTCTTTCTTAAATAAAGGAACAATATTAAACACCCTCCAGTCCTCCAGCACCTCACCTGTGGTTACAGATGATACAAATATCTCTGCTAGAGGCCCCGAAATTTCCTCCTTAACTTTCCACAATGTCCTGGGATACACTTGATCAGGCCCCGGAGATTTATCCACCTTTATGTTTTCTGAGACCTTCAACACTTCATCTATTGTAATGTAACTGTTTTCAAAACATCAATATTTATGTCCCTAAGTTCTCCACCCTCCATTTCTTTTTTCACAGTAAAAATGATGCAAAATATTAATTTAATATCTCTCCCAACTCTTGAGGTTCAACACAAAGTAGACCTCGTTGATCTTTAAGAGGCCTTACTCTCTATCTCTCATTGCTCTTTTGCTTTTAATATACTTGTAGAATCTCTTTGGATTATCCTTAATCTCATCTGCCAAGGCTATCTCATATCCCCTCTTTGCTTTCCTGATTTCATTCTTAAGAATGTCTCTATACTCTTTATACTCTTCAAGGGGTTAATTTGATCCCAGTTGTTTGTATCTAAGATATGATTATTTTTTATTCTGGACCAGAACCTCAATATTCACCTAATCTTACCAGCCACTTGTCAGTTGTCCCTTTACCTGCCAACAGTCTACTCTAATCAATTTTTGAAAGTTCTTGTATTCCAGATTTATCAATCAAATTTACACCTGGGATTTCAATCTGCTTCCACTTCTGCTTCCAAGCTGACGCTAAGAATGTCCATCTGGTCGTTTATCAGGCCCCAACACAGTGCAGTAGAAGGAAATCTTTATACTAATTGAAGCTTAATGTACTTATTTTACATTACAATAAAATAATCGTAAATTGCAGAATAATGGCAACTGAACTTTGTGTGTTTCGGTTCAGTTTTCATCACCTACCGAAGGACATTCCGGATAATTGTATAAGAACAAAAAGACCCTCTCTAGAGGCGGGGAGACGATGTTTCACTTGAATTAGTTCGCCAATTAATTCCAGGGGAAGTATAGTGGCCAGTGGTATAGTTGCAGAGCAATTAAAGTTTAATGAATGAATACAGACAGGCAGAATGGTATATAATGACAAATATCGGCGCAACATCCTTAATAGTAATTGCAGTCAGTTTATGAAGATCACAAAGAGAGCCCGCGATATACGAGTGGGACTGGTTTGGTTTGGGAACATGGTCGGCGTGGAATAGTTGGACCGAGGGGGTCTGTTTCCATTTAGTATGACTCTATGACGGTATATATCAGGAAAATCATAGAATAGTATTATCTTTGGTTTCAGTGAGGCTGTAAGTGAATTTACGAATTTATGAGAAATGTAGTGGTTTAATGCGATGTTTCTTATTGTTCCAGGTACAAAATGAGCATGCCTTAGCCAACACGTGGGGTGATGGGTTTTTTTTGTTGCAATATCCATGTGGGAAAAATTCTCAAATGAAATAGTTAAGGCAGAGTGATCCATGAAGATATTTTATCTGACACACACAATGAGGGTGTCATATGGAACTTAATGATTCATCTCCTAAAGATTAGTAAATACGGTGCCAAAATTAGCGATTGTATTGTAGAAAGTCAAATTCGTCAGATACCCTGGAATGTTCTTTGATTTAAATCAAGATTTCAGGAGGATGGGAAGAGACAGTTAAAGGTATCAGTTACATAGCTTCCACAGGCAGTGGACAATCTCGCTTACCACCAGAGTCCGCCGCATTGCTCAGAGAGCATTTTGCAATTTGTCCACCCAAAAGTGACGCCCGAAATATTCATCCAACCCAAATATCCATGATTCAATGGGCAAGGATTCTCGAGGTCAATCATTGTTGGCCGAGCCAGCGAAGTAATAATTCCTAGGTGATTCCTTTTAGATGAACGCACATTGTTTTCTGGAGAATTGGGTTGTTCGCTCTCTTGGCGTTGTTTGAACATAGTAGACCAGACCTACCACACAAAAAAAAACAATTAACACAGCCGAATGCACGGACTCTTGAGTTGGGAATGTATTCCGTTCAGCTGAACGCTCATGGCGAGGTTATCTTCGGCAGAATTCAATTTGACTCAATACTCGAATGAATATATAATTCCTATCCAGAATGCACTATCGGGTTGGTCATTGGACGGACTGTCTCTGCCTGGAATATTATTTTCGTTTTGTTTGTCTCACTGGGAACTCCTTAGCTGTGAGTTTACAATCTCCGTGCTCTCAGACTAGTGCGAGTTGAGGAATTTGCTAAAATCCCTGTTATGTTTATATAATTCATTCAAATCGTTTGAAAGATGTTTAATCCTTTTCACTAAAAGTACAGAATCTACAATTCTGGGTCTTCTTTTCGCCATTTTCCTTTTGAAGTTTTCTGAGACCCAAATGCATGTTTTTGTTAAGAAAATGTTCCACCAAAGCATCAACTCAGGACACTCAACGGCCCCCACACTAGTTCAAATGTAACTTCTGCCAGAATTTTGGTGAAATTTGGGGTTTAAAATAAATTAAGTTTGTGATTTAAGAACATAAAATCATGGAAATACTGAGCAGGATTTTTACACTGGCTTGGGAATTCCATTTGGCATTCGTTTCATGATTAACACCAATGTGCAATGGACAACAGGATATGGGTTTATCAGTGATCTGCGGTGAGAATGAACCGTCCATGAAAGGAATGTCCACAATCTATTTATCCCTGTCATATGCTGTAATGTCCCTTAAAACCAAACATGACTTTTGAAACGGTTTCAGAGATAGTAGGAACTGCAGATGCTGGAGAATCTGAGATAACAAGGGCCTAGACCACCGAAACGTCAGCCTTCCTGCTCCTATGATGCTGCTTGGCCTGCTGTGTTCATCCAGCTCTACAGCTTGTTATCTCATGACTTTTGAAACGTGCAAGAGGGCTAATGTTGCAATATTGATCAGACTCTTGTCCTCAGGGCAGTTTGGCTGTAGCTAAATTCATCTCTGCAACTAATGGGTGTGTGAATGACGTGACCCTGAACTTGCAGCTGGTGGCGCCTGGGATCACAGGGAAGTCCCTGGTTTCTCTCTGCCTCTTTCTCTCTGTCTTCAGCACAACCCTCGTGCCCTCGCCTTCAGTAAACAGCAGCTTCTCTCTTTCTCTCTGTCTCCCTCACGGGCAAAATGTACCTTCTTGGCTACATTTGGATGCTGATCTGTTGGATTGACAGTAAGTGCATTTCGAGCTGAAAGTTTCACTGACATTCCTGTCGTTACTGTTCACCTTGTTTGAGCGGGTTTTGAGCAGGAGACTCGGACAGGTCTTGTAAATAAAATTACAAATTCATACTGCCGAGTTGGAGGCCATTCGGCCGCTTCTACCAGTGCTTGCTGTTTGAAATAGAGACCCAATTAATGCCACTCTGCCTTGCTATCCCTTACCAGCCCTGTAACTGCTTCCTTTGGAGGAATAGATCCCATTTCTAGATTGTTCGAGACTGATGGCGGAGCAGGAGGCGGCAGTTCGGCCTATCGCCCCTCTTCCGGCTCTCCGCAAAAGCAGCTCGCTGTTCCCCAGTCCCTCACCTTTCCTCCCATTCAGATAAGGAACCAAGAGAAAGCAAGAACTGCCGATGCTGGAGTCAGAGATAACACAGCTCCACACTGTGTTATCTCAGATAAGGAACCAATTCTCTTTTGAATTGAATCGGACTTTAAGGGGCAGAAAGTCAGAAGCCCACGAGCGTTTAAAATCCAAACGAATCCGCATTCGCTAAAGGCTGGAAGGGAATAAGGAGTATTATGACAAAACAGCTGAATTTTGCTGGGAAGGGGAGGTAAAACGGGAGAATTAAACAGCTCCGTGTCTGTCTGTCCAGGTGCCCAGGCTGAATCAATCCTACAGCAGACTCCGAGAGAAATAGTGGCGACCAAAGGCGGACAGATCGAACTTTCCTGTAATCTGAAGAAGGGCTCACTCGAATATGTTTTCTGGTACAAACTAGACGGAAACTCCCAGGCCCATTTTCTGAAGTCTGCCACTGTCCTGAACAGACAGACCTCAGGAGAGGGAATAACCGAACGGTTCATTTTAACCAAAGATACCTTTCGACTGTCGTTCAGTTTAAGCATAAAAGACACGCAGCTGTCAGACAACGGCACCTACTACTGCCTGATGCTCAAATCCTACTCCATGTACATGGGAAGTGGAACTGTGGTCATAGTAGGTAAGAAGCGTTACCAATTTGAATACTCTTCGCCGTAACAAATGATCAAAACAAGCACCAACTTTAAGAAGCAACAATAATCGCCGTTTGAGATAACAAGGTGTAGAGCTGGATGAACACAGCAGGCCAAGCAGCATCAGAGGAGCAGGAAGGCTGACGTTTCGGGCCTAGACCTGCTGAGTTTCTTCAGCAATTTCAGTTTTGGTTCAGATCGCCAGCAGTTTTATTGAAGGAATGACCGACCGTTTCCTTCTGATTAGACAGGGCCTCCAACACCCCTCCCCGTCCCCTCCCCCCCCCCCCCCCCCAAAGATTCTGGTTAATGTGGTTCTGGTTGGCTGGATTGGGACTTATTAGAGATATGGATAGCCATCGCTCTCAAGTCTAACAAAGTAAGACTTTGCTTAGTCATAAATAGTCGCTGCTGGAAGGTCCCAGCCAATTCCGACCTCGCTGCTCATGGTGTGAATGTGCTGGTGTTGGGCTGGGGATGGACAAGGTCAGGAATCACACAACACCAGGTTATAGCCCAACAGCTTTGTTTGAAAACACAAGCTTTCGGAGCCTCGCTCCTTCTTCAGGTAGTAGTCAACACCTGAGGTCAGCATTAACACCTGAAGAAGGACTGAGGCTCCGAAAGCTTGTGTTTTCAAATAAACCTGTTGGACTACAACCTGTGATTTCTGACCTTGCTGTTAGTTGTCAGACGGCCCGTGGATATGACACAGACCCCTAAGACGCTGCTCGTTTCAGTTCCAGAACAAGAGAAAGTAACTTCGCCGCCTCCGACGACTAAAAGTAGCGGAATCGATCGCGTTACCCAGCCCAAGGTACGACAGAAGAAGAAAGCGGAGAGTCACGGTAAGATCAATAGTCAAACTGCGTTCACTGTGTCTGAGGTACAGAGACTAGCGCTGTTAAGTCTATCTGACTGATAATTATGCCTACTTACAGCCCAATGGGTTTCCCAACAGTCCCCACACACAATTATCAAAAACAGAAACTGTTGGGAAAACTCAGAGAGAAATAAAAACCGAGTTAACGTTTCGGATCCAGTTCTGAAGGAGGATCACTGGACCCAAAGCGTCAACTCTACTTTTCTCCCTAGATGCTGCCAGACCTGCTGAGTTTCTCCAGCTATTTCTGTTTTTGTTTCTGATTTCCAGCATCCACAGTTCTTTGCTTTAGTTTAGGGACTGGCTTCCAATGTGCTGATTCATTATCAGCACAACATTGCATGAGAATCATTACCACCGTCTGTTTTTTTTCCCCAAGTGCTATCTATCCGAAAGCCGCCGCGGCATCTTTGCATGTTTTTGTTTTGGAAGCTCTGATGAAAAGTCCCCGGTCTGAAATGTTTCCCACTGATGCTGTCTGGCCCGTTGAATGTTTCCGGCGTTTTCCTTCATTTTTAAAGGTTATTTTTGTGTTGGAAACAATCTGATTGTGTTCTTCGGTAATTCACAGTTTCAATCCCAGTCAGCCTCTGGATGTTTATTGAAATGCAAACATCGTGAAAAAAGTAATCCAGACAGAAATCTGGGAGCGTTATCCGGCCTTGGTGTGGGGCTGAGTAAATTCTGAAGCGCTTGTAGGTGTGTGTATAAATGGGACAGGCTTTCATTTTCAGTTGAACACGTACATGTTCTGGAGGGGAACACTATATGTGGGAGACGGTGGGAGGGTGCCCTGTGTTTGGAGAATTTACTGGATATCGTTTCATGATATTTTCTGCAGTTCCCAATCTCGCATTCCCTGCGTTTATTTATGGCCTTTTGTATGGCAGCGCCATTTGTGACTGCCCCCGGACAATAAGAACATATAAAATAGGAACAGCAGTAGGCCATCTGGCCCGTCTGAGCCTGTTCTGCCATTCTATTAGATCATGTCAAAAATCACACGACAGGACCTGGTGTTGTGTGATTTTTGACTTTGTCCGCCCCAGTCCAACACTGGCTTTTTCACATCAATAAAATCATGGCTGATCTTTTTGTGGACTCAGCTCCACTTACCCGCAGGCTCACCGTAACCCTTAATTCCTTTACTGTTCAAAAATGAGGTAGCCTAAACTGCTTCACTGGGCAGGGAATTCCATAGATTCACAACCCTTTGGGTGAAGTAGTTTCTCCTCAACTCGGTCCTAAATCTGCTCCCCCTTATTTTGAGACTATGCCCCCTAGTTCTAGTTTCACTTGTCCGTGGAAACAACCTCCCTGCTTCTATCTTATCTCTTCCCTTCATAATTTTATGTTTCTATAAGATCCACCTCCAATGGTTTCATTGGAAGAGACATGAAGCTGTCTGTTCACGGCATCCGTGAAAGGTGAGCTTCTTCGCAAATCCATTCATTAACATTAGTGGGCAACAAGATAAAAACTCTCAGGCTGGCATTTCAAACCAAAGCATTTTTCTTGTTTCCAAACCACTGCATTCACCTTCCTACTGTAGGAGGTCAGATAACACTTTGCATTTATGTAGCGGCATGCAACAACTCCCAATGTGTGTCAATGACACCCAGCCACATCAACAGATAATAGGGCTGAGGCCTAAAAAGGCTTCATTTTATATGTTCAGAACTATCCTCAAAGAGGCCGGGGTTTCGTAGACCAGCAGGGACGCTAAGAGAGAAGCTTCCAGAGGCTGCTTACTTGAGAAAGGATATACTGGCACTGGGAGGAGTGCAGTAGAGATTTACTAAGTTCATTCTGGAGTTGAGAGGGTTGCCTTATGAGGACAGATTGAGTAGACTGGGACTTTACTCATTGAAATTTAGAAGAATGAGGGGAGGAGACTGCAGGAAAATGTAAACCTGAAATGTAAGGCTGCCATTTAATTTCCAAGTCAATTTACAGTGTACAAGGAGATCCCTCCTAAGCAGAGGGTCTGTATTGCTTTTTTATTGCTAAGCAAGACAGAACTATCTCACTTATCCCCACAGCCTCACTTTCCAGTTTAATGTACAATTGCCTGCCTTAAAAAATGCAATGGGGCGATCTATCAATGCTTACAGTCCTCTCTGGTTAACTGCGGAACTCCCCCATGTCTGGCAATTTTGCACTGAATAGCAACAAAAACCAAAGCACAGTGCATGCTGGAAATCAGAAAGGAAAAAAACAGAAATTGCTGGAAAAACTCAATAAGTCTGGCAATGTCTATGCAGTGGAAGCAGAGTTAACGTTTCAGGTCCAGTGAAGAAGGTCCACAGATGCTGCCAGACCTGTTGAGGTTTTCCAGTAAGTTTGGGTTTTTTTTTGCATTGAATAGTGTTCATTTTAGAATGCATCTTTATAAAACAGGGCCACACTTTAACCAGTTGATTATAATGGATGTGTTGGCAGAATAAATGAGGATAATGCTGGCCAAACATTAGCTGTGAGTGATGATGGGGGGAAAGGGTGATTAATGTTGGAGGAGCTATGATCCTTGGCCAAGTTCCAGTCTCAACTTTTCTTCACTTGAGATAAAATCATGATGTTGTCAATTCCTGAATCTATCACATATGCCAGCAGTTCGATCTTTAGTCTGGACTACTTGCTGAGGAGTAGAATTAGAGATTATTTATTTAACATTAAGATTTCCTCTGCTGGGATACATCTAAATCCTCATTCAGTTCGCCATCAGCCGTAGGTTGGAGTAGTACCCAGCGATGAGACAGTGGATAATCCGACTGTTTCTGATTTCTGCAGCCATTTCAGATTTCAGGCAATCTTTTAACATAATCCAGGAGTCAGTTGTTGTAGTTAATATAAATCTTCCTGGTTATACAGGTGGTATGGACACAGCAGCATCATTCCAATCAGAATCAGTAGCCTTGGCTCACTGATAGCGATCCTGCCCCTGAATTCTGAGTTGAACCCCCAGTATTGAATTTCTTCTGGGATCTTGCTAAGCCTTTCTAACAATGCATCAGTGACCTTTTTGTCATGATATAAATGATTAGGATGTGAATATAGGAGGAATGTTTGGTAAGTTTGCAGATGACGCCAAAATTGGAGGTGTAGTGTACAATGAAGAAGGTTATCTCAGAGTACAACAGGACCTTGATCAAATGGGCCAACTGGCTGAGGAGTGGCAGATGAAGTTTAATTTAGATAAATGTGAGGTGCTACATTTTGGAAAGGCAAGTCAGGGCAGGACTTATATACTAAATGGTAAGGTCCTGGGGAGTGTTGCTGAACAAACAGACCTTGGAATGCAAGTTCATCATTCCTTGAAAGTGGAGTCGCAGGTAGATAGGATAGTGAAAGCGGTGGTTGACATGCTTGCCTTTAGTGGTCACTGCACTGAGTATCGGCATTGGAAGGTCATGTTGCGGCTATCCAGCACATTGATTAGGCCACTTTTTTTTGTGAATCGTGAACCTAAATAGGCTCATAGAGATGTACAGCATGGAAACAGACCCTTCATTCCAACTCATCCATGTCAACCTGATAATCTCTCAATGTTGGTGACAAATAAAACAGTGCAATGTTCTGCCTCCAGAAATAAAGTTCTAGTAGGGGTCATCGGGAACAAACACTTTCCCAGCTGAAAGTGGAAAGTCCAGGCTGCCTCGCCTTGATTTGAAAACAACAAATACTAGGGATCACAGCAGGTCAGACAGCATCCATGAAGAGAGAGCAAACTAACATTTCCAGTCTGGATGACTTCATCTGGTGTACAGATTCCAGCATCTGCAGTAATTTGCTCTCGCCTTGGCTTGACGCTGATGGTCTCATGGTCTGAACGCTGCCAGAGCCAAGCTGATGCTGCTTAAAGGAGTGCAACACGAGCTGACATGCAGGCTCACTAACAATATTCTGCATCGAAAGGCAATGACTTTCTCACCGCGAGTTCAAAGATCCGCAAACCATGGGATGACCTTGTGTTTCGTGGACAATGTGTTATTTTTGCTCAGGAATTCTTTGCCTTGTTGTGGCTGTGACGCTGTGCTGCGCTGAGTAAGGGATTTGCTGCTGTTTCCTTTGCAGGGTACGTGTGTAACTGGAGTATCTGGCTCTCTCTCGCTGTTTGCAACCTCATGCTCCTGACCTCCATCATCTTTGTTGTCATCAAACACAGGATCCAGAGTAAGGGCCGAAAGCTGTCTCTTTATGTGTGTGTACATGTATGTGTGCGTTTATGTGTATGTTTATGTGTGTGGGGCGGGGGGTTGCGGTGCGAGAGAGTGTATGTATGTGTGTTAACTTCGCCTTTGATACACTGCAATCACCTGTGGAGAACTTATTTACTCGGGAGGTCTCTGTTTCTCTTCCATTTATAGAATCCCGGAGGCGATGTCCCCACCAGTTTCGAAAAAGGTAAATACATTTCTTTCTTTTTGTGACAACTTATCGAGGAGGTTTAGAGAGTGGGGCATAGCGGATTGCCCTTGGTTTGTTTCATTTCTACTTGTGAATTAAAAAAGCTCCCTTCAGCCGAAAGACAACTCTCGGAATCAGGATTTAGTCTCGGTTTGTGCTGATTAGTAATGGATTAGTAATTATCGGCCCATCGCTGTTTCAAACCCGATTGAACGTTGATTTTAATTAGACAAGGCGAGAACCTCCGAGCACCTTAAAGTAAGTGGAGAACCCGTTTTGTTTTTGGTGGGGGGCTAGGGTGGGTGTGCTAATTCCAAATGTTAAACAATGCCTACAGAGACGGACGAATATAAATCCAGTTCTTGCTCATTAAAGCAAAATCTACTCAGGAACTGTTTTATTTTAATAAGAGACTGATACCTGATCAAACCGCAATCTGTCCTTATTTAAGTTTGTCCAAATCCCGTTTTAACGGAAAACCGGCTTCGGTCTGTTAGAAATCTGATATCCAAGTCTTTATGTCTAACACAAAACCCAAAGAACTGCGGATGCTGTAAATCAGAAACAAAAACAGAAGTTGCTGGAAAAAACTCAGCAGGTCTGGCAGCATCTGTGAAGGAGAAATCAAAGTTAACGTTTCAGGCCCGGTGATCATTCCTCAGAACTCAGCATTTCCAGCAAGTTCTAATTATATTAATAGAGCCGTAGAGATGTACAGTATGGAAACAGACACTTCGGTCAAACTCGTCCATGCCGACCAGATAACCTAAATACATCTAGTCCCATTTTGACAGCATTTGGCCCAGATCCCTCTAAAACATTCCTATTCATGTACCCATCCAGGTGCCTTTTAAATGTTGTAATTGTACCCATCTCCACTACGTCCTCTGTCATCTCATTCCATACATGCATCACCCTCTGTGTGAAAAAGTTGCCCCTTAGGTTCCTTTTAAATATTTCCCCTCACACTTCAAACCCATGCCCTCTAGTTTTGGACTCCCCCACCTGGGGAAAAGACCTTGGCTATTCACCTTATCTATGCCCCTCATGATTTTATAAACTCAAGTGGTGGTTTAGAAATGTGATCACCAATATGCTAATACTAATGGTACAGTGATCCTTAAAATCTGGTTGAAGGATAAGTATTTAACCAGGACACTGGGGAGAGGCTCTTTGGAGTCCCAAAAACTAGAGGAGAGATGCCTTGATCTCGACACATAATCCGGGTTGATACTTCAATCCTGAGGGAGCTATCCGCGACCTTTTGGATCAGATGTTTTAACTATGATGAGGCACGAATTACAAGAGAAAGGAAGATTTCTTCCTTCATCAAAATTAAAAAAAAAACATGTATTTATGCCTTTCTTGCTCTTAGGGTGTTAGCCAATGTAGCACTTTTGAAGTTAGTCATTCTTGTAACAGGGTAAATCAGCCAATCTGCCCACAGCAAGCACCACATATGGCCAAGTCATTATTCTGTATATTGGTGATGTTGGGAGAGGGCTTATTTTAGGCCAGTTCAGTAAAGGTATATGTGGCATTATAAGCAATTTAGTTTCAGCTGGGGAAGCGTAAGCTAATTCACTTTGCTCATAGGAACAGAAAAGTAGAATATTTTTTAAAAGATGTGAAACTTGTTAATGTTGATGTTCAGAGAGACTTGGTCATACTCACTCAAGGAATGCAGTAAGCTCGGGTGTGGAGACAGTTAGGAAGGTATATGGCATGTGAGCCTTTTTCTTTCCAATTATCGTACAGGAATGAAGATGTCTTGTTACAATTGTTCAGGGCTTTGGTGTGACCACAGCTGTAATACTGGAGAACATTTAATGGGGGTGAAATGAGTCAGAGCAGCCGTTATTGCCTCTTCTCAAGAAGAGCTGACAAACGAAGGACAATTCAGAGAGCTAATTGGTCAAGGGCAGGCTTTCCACACGATCAAAGAGTCTGGGGGCTGAAATACCACAAGCTGCAGCCAATCAGGGCAAGCTGGTCAGTCTAGGTACTGGTTCCAAATGAGGCCTAGGTCCATCATGGAAGGCTGGCAGGATGATTGTAGGTTTTGGGCTAGGGAAGGAGATTTGGCAGCAAGGGCAAGATGCCTGTTCTCCCACCACTGGAGCTGGTTACTGGAGCCAGGTACCTTCAAATGAGCAATCAGATGCCCCCTCCCTCCATCCTTCCTGAAAGCCTACAACCAATAAGCCAGCATTTACATTTCAAACCTCCAACATGATGAGGCCACTATATTGTGTGGATGGAAACCATTGACAGCAGAATGAGGCCCTTCAGTGAGCAATAGCTAGTTAAAGGCTTCAACTGGCAACAGGATAGAAAGGCTGCCCACAAGCCTTCCCTCCAAAGGCGTAATCAGGGCAGTGGTGGAGAGGCTTTAACATCTCCAATCACCAGCATCCCAATTTGTTAAATACACCCTTGCCACCAAATGCACTATGGACAGGGGTGTCATTAATTCTACCCACTATGTGCAGTTTTGGTCTCCTTTTTAGGGAAGAATGTACTTACTTTGGAGGCAGTGCAATGAAGGTTCATTACGTTGTTCTTTGGGATGAGAGGACTGTCCTCTGATGAGAAGCTGAGCAAATGGAGTCAATATTCTCTGGAGATCAGAAGAATGAGAGATGATCTCATTGATACTTACATGATTCTGATGGTCATTGACAGGGTTGATATTGAAAGGTTTTATCCGCTGACTGAGGAATCTAAAAAGACCGTCTCAGACTAGTGGGACATGAAATAAGGAGAAATTTCTTCACTCACAGGGTTGTTAATCTTTGGAATTGTCTATACCATATATTGGACTCTCCAGGACTCAAGGGATATAGGGAAGGGGACTGGAAAATGAACAAACTCTAAGATGTGCCACGATCGTATGAACTGGCCGAGCAAGTCTGATGAGCTGTACGTTGTATTCTTACTCTTAATTCCCTTGTTCACATGTTCTCATTCCACAATTTATTATTATCTTAGTCATGAGGAATAGTGAGTGTAGTCCATAGAGTGTTATTTTTGTAAGCTATTATTTCTGTCAGAAGAAGTATGAATCCTGTCCATTAGTAGGTTTCACCATGCCTGCCATCTATAAAAAAAAATCCAGGCTTCATTCTCTTCTAGTCTTTCACATTACGCTCTGGGCTCTGGTTTTATTCATTCAAATCAAACTGTAGGGAGCTAATCGCTCTTATGGTGGAGTTTGATAGCATTAATAAAATCCTAAACATTATTATTATCACCAGAAACTAAATTAAATAGAATAAAATCTGCACTAGTATAGCAGGTTAGGTAAGAAAAATGCAATCTATTGTCCACTTTTATAGATTAGGTTCACATTATCTCAGCTCAATATCTTACAATATTTGTCAAAAGTTGTCAAATTATTTTACAATAAAATTGGTTATAAATCTACTGATGCCTTTTTATAATATTATCATCTCAAATTACAAAACAATGCTTAAAATACTTTTACTATTCATTAAAGGTTGAATTTATTCTGATTCAACCATCATAATTACTTAGTAGTTCAACAACCATATGGTTTCTGAACAGGCTGAAATAAAGTACATTTCAGTGATCTTGTCACAGTTTCCTTTAGCTACCAGAGTATTTCTTAATATTCATTATATTGATGGTTCATTGCCAAAATGTATCATTTTATGAGCACTGAAACCCACTAATACAAGAGGTGTCTTTCTAATAGGAGGGACAGTTGTTACGTAAGAATTTCTTGAACTCACTCATAATTATTTTCAGTTGCTTATATTTCATTTTTGGGTGACAGCAAGTAACAATAAGGAAATGGAATTATTAATATTTAAAACCTTAATATATCATCCCCTACAAGAGTGCAAACATAAAATTTATAGCAAGTATATATATAGTATTTTGTTTATTGTAAAAGGAACGTAGTTAAAAGCAATTTCAGGACCTAGTTTTAGCATCGGCACCCTGCATTTCATGATTTCTTCCTACTCAGAAATTTCAGTGATTCTACTATGTTCTGGATATGTTTCTACAGACTGTAAACACTATAAAATGAATAGGAAGGGCTTAAGGGATATGGGCCAAATGCTGGCAAATGGGACTAGATTAATTTAGGATATCTAGTCGGCGTGGATGAGTTGGACTGAAGCATCTGTTTCCATGCTGTACAGCTCTATGATGCTGTGACTGTAATGCCTGAGATCAACAGGCCAACATATCTAAGGCCACTACCTTCCTATTTTTTCTGATTTTCTGGGATTAATGAAAGTAGCTTTCATTTTGTTTTTTAATCACCACGAAATGAGACACAGATAGCTATTCTGTCTGAGGGTAAAAAGCATGACAAGTGTAATTAAAGTATTTTAGGTGTGTATTCATATTTGTTTAATTATAACATAGTCCTGATATCATACATAGAATTATTACTGCAACAGTAATCTCAAACTACCAAAGGAAAAACGGAGCACCAATTTTGTTTTTATTTAAAATTCTATTTTAACGTCTTTCTGTTTTTGTTTGCCCTTTTTATTCATTCTGTTTTCCTCCATTCTCTTTTCTACCATTTTGCTTTGATTCTTACTATTACAAAAGCTGACAGTTAAAACAGTTGCTCTCTGAATGGTAGCATTTTCTTTCCATTAACTGATTTTGTTGTAAAGGAGATGGTTATAAAATACAAGCCTTCTATAAAATGCCAGCCTGCAAAAAAATGCATAATTCCGTGACAGAAAGCAGAGTTGAACTTATCTCTCAGTGCTTACTTTGTACCTACTTAACATACTTGGTCGTGTATGTCACAGTGCAGTCACTTCAAAATGATAGTTAATTGTAAGGATCATCTTGAGATGTTCTGATGTGATGACACACTCTATAATGCAAGTATTATATGGAGTTTTCCATCATTGAGATAGCAGGCACTTTGAAAAGATTGGCTTTTGTTTTGTTGACATCTGACTTTGAAAAGCCCATTATTTTACGTTGTAAAGATAATTATT